CAATTCCTTGCAATGGAATTGAATAAAAACTTAAAAGAGTAAAAGGTCAACTTTAAAATATGCATAATAAACTCAGAGACTGAAAGTGGTCCCATAACTTTCTGCATCATTTCTCTTCATCTTATTATTCATGTGGGCCTCCCTGAATTTTAAGGAGGAAAAATAAAATAGCAGAGCATGTGGACCACAGGGACCAGGGAATTTTTTTTTTAAATGAACAGGGAATTAAAGGTAGATTGGATAGTGTTTCTTAATATTGTTGCTATGGTGGTTGTGATAGTATGGATGGACACCCAAGAAGTTACTGTACCACAGAAAAGTAAAATCTCAGTATTATTCTAAGAAATCCTTTATGTCCTAATGTTTTTGGTCATAGAGCCATCATATTGAAAGCCTTATTATTTTAAAGATGACTAATTTTAAAATTTCTTAACTGATAACATTAAAGCCATTGGGGTTATTCCAGCAAGATATGGTGGGACAAGGCTTGGGAATTTATATGAGGGACAAGTGTGGGAAATATTTAGTAGTACATAGAAATCTGACTCATGCATTCTACAAATATTGCTGAGTGTTAATAAAAGGGATAGAAAGATGTTTCTTTGGATAAGTTTTTAAAAATAGCAAGCTATTTTTTGGCATCAGTAACTTTTTAAGTTAGGTAATGGGTTGTCATGTAATCATACATACATGCATTCTGCTTTTATGTATGATGCACCAATTAAAAATAAATAAGTAGATAGCAAACCAATACAGTAGAGGAAGGGGTTGAGGGAGAACAGAGAAGAGGGAAGAAGTATTGGGTACTGAAATGGAGCCAATTATGTTATATGCATTTATCAATATGTCAGAATGAACACCACTATTGTTATGTATAACTATAATGCACTGGTGAAAACATTTTTCATAAAAAGTTAGATAACAGTGCCATTTTGTCATTCAATACAGAACACTGAATCTTTAGAGTGGCTAATTTCATAGGGGTTTAAAGGTTTAATCTGTAGGACAAATAAAATTTAAACACAAAGGTAATAGAAATGGTATAGTCTCTTAAGTATTTGAAGTTGACATGTGTTCTTGCCCATAGTCCAACCCAGCTCACAACAGTTACATTCATGCATGGTACCTCCAAATACAGAAGTAACCCCAACTCTAAGATCTCTAGATTTGGATGATACCTTCAGGCCTGGCCTTGGCCCTGTGAACATCGCTTCCCACTTCAGAAGTGAGTGAGCAAGAATATAACCAGGTCTGTCTAACCTTGAATTAGAGGAACTTATTCAGGGACAACTCAGTGTATCTACTTTAAATGGATCAAGGAAGAAAGAGAACAGTTGTTTTCAGGGACAAGGAGGATCATGCAGTATATCATTGTGGTGCCTTGGCGGTTACTTGACTATACAAGTTTTTATTGCACATTTGCTGCAGACAAGGCCCTTATTCTAGGAGTAGGGGAGAGCAGACGACGAGAAAGACAAAGTGCATGACCCCAGAGCATTTAAATTCTAGCAGAGTCTCATAATATTGAACGACTAAGCATAAAATTAAAGAAGGCATTTAGGTAGAACTCTGCACAATTCTTTTTTGAGAAACCACGACACACGTATTAGAATGTCTACAATTGAAGACATTAATCACAGCAAGTGTGGGGAAGTTTTGGTAGAACTAGAATTTTCACACACTGCTGGTAAGAGATTATAATGGTATAATCACTTTGGGAAAGGTTGGACAGTTTTATAGAATAAAACATGCATCTATCTTATATTCTAGATATTACACTGTTAGGTATTCACCCAACATAAAGAATATATCACCTCAAAATGTGTGCACAGATGTTCAAAACAGCCTACTTGTAATGATTAAAAGATGGGAACTGCTCAAGGCCCCATCAAGAGGTGAATAAATAAATACATTTTGGCACATCTATACAATACACTACTGCTGCTCAGCAATGAACAAGAGTGAAACATTGAACACATGCAATAACACGAATACAGATCAACAGGGCAGGCTGATTGAAAGAAGTTAGATATAAAAAGTACAGACACAAAGTAGAACATACTGCATGACATCATCTATAAAAACATCTAGACAAAGACACACTAAAGAGTGGTGAAAAAAAAATCAGACCAGCAGTTGGGGACAAGTAGGCACAAAACAGCTCTGCTCATTTCTTATAGAAAGTTGTACTTACAAATTCCTATGCTTGTTTTTTAAAAATATAACTGGCTATCAGATATTCACACAAAGTCTTTAGGTCTTAAAAGTACTCCTAAAAATACATATTAAGGTATGATTTTTATTCTTAGATCAATTGCTTTGACTATTAAAACCCTTTTCAGCCTTTGGATTAATTCAGTATTATGTAACTTAGATTTCTAGGTTCAGGGACCAGTTGTGGGTATATTATGAAAAATTTCTTACTTCTCAACCATGGATGATCTCGGGGCCCTCTGTTTGTATTCTTCAGGTTATTCACAGGGATGGAATGAGTCTTTACTGCACTGTGTTCAGAGTCCTTGCTATTAGTACATGGGGACAAGCCCTTGGATCTGTTTATTTGCCATTAACCATGAACAAGGTGATGTTCCATAACCTCTTTTCCGGGGTGAAGCAGAGCAGTTTTGTGTGCAATGGTAAAATCACACACCAACTCCCAGCTGGTGGAGAGTAATTGATCATGTCTGCCTGGAGAAGCGTTTAGAGATGGATTCTGAGGCTCAGGCTGGGACTCATCAGAAAAGAAATTAGGATTGATAAGTGAAATCTGCTATGGGCAAGGAAGGGTGAACTTGTATGTGGCAGGAATTTTCTAGTCCATACACATTGATGTCCTAGGAATGGCCCGACTTTCTGGATTTCATTTTAATTTCTACAAGAAAGTACATTCTTAATATTATTCTAAACTTAGGAAATTAGTGCATGCTCAGTGCAGAACCCCCAGACATATATACTTCAAAATACCTTCATGCACTTCGCTCTTTTCGTAGGTATGTTCTTCAATCTAGAAAATATTTCTGTTTTTTTTTTCAATTTCAGACACAATGATAAGAACATAATTAGATGTTTCTTTGTGTGTGTATGTGTTTGGGTCTGTCTGTCTATGGACTTGGTGCAGGGCAAAACGTATTCCTTATGGGTCATGGTAAATATAGTTTGAAAGTCACCACTCAGACCATATCCCTTTATAACCAGAGCCTGAAGGGAGAGAAAAATGATTCTTACGCTTTACTGACTTGGCATATATCATCAGTCTTAATCATGTCAAATCCACGTGCTGTTTTGGGAGCATGGATTTGAGCAGGACTAGTAAGCAAGGTTGGCTTCAAATACACAGAAGCCTGGTGCAAAAGCTCACGTCTTACAGCTCTATGAGGTCACCCAGTCTGCGTCCACCTCCTCTTTGCTCTAAGTGATTCTCTGTCATTAGTGAATGCCTTGTTCCTATCCTCAGAGAAAACTGCTCTGCTTCTCAGAAATTAAGGAACATACAGTCCTCTGCCAGATCCACTCCCACCTACTCCAGCTCCTTAAATACACACAGAATGTATAACATTTTACTGTTTATCATGACTCCAACTATTGGGCCGTAGCCACATCCCAATTTTCCTACTGCCTGAAGAGAAGGGTGATCATAGGATGTTTTCACTAATCGGTGATTTAGATAGCCCAATGCCATTTTGGGTGACAGTCAATAGATTTATAAAAGCTATAAACCTGACCCATGTTAAGAAGAAACTGATTAAAGTACAAGGTAAGGAGCATGGGTTACTTTCCCAGCAGGGCCCAACTTATGTTTCTCTTAAGAATACAAGCTAGTTAGTGGTCAGGATCTGAACTAACAGGACTGAGGGAAGAAGAGGAGCTTCCTTGAAGACTCAAGAGTTTATTATGCACCTGCAATCTCATCATCTCAAGGCTTATACTGTGACCATAAATACGTTAATAAGTGGGCTCTCTTTTAAATGATTCAGTGGGGTAGCACATACAGGAAAATTGTCCTTAGGTTGTTTCAAGGGATGGGAAGAGGTCAAAAAATAAGATCTGTGCTTTTTCAGTAGCTACCAGGAATTGGGAATTCTAAGAGAATTCCTCCCACTGGCCTCCAATGGTGTCAGCATGATTCACAGGGGGCAGCGTAGATAAGTCTCAATACTCCCCCCCCCACCCTCCCACAATGTTTACTAAGCTTCAGCAAACCATATATATTTTTGATAAGCATCTGTTTATTATAACTGATGAGAATGTCAGAGTAAATAGGACATGCATTCTTTGGGAGTAAAATTTCTAAAGGATGGACACAGTTCTCTTATAAGTTGTGAGTGTACTTCTAGTAAACATGACTGAGCCTCAACTTCCAATCAAGTAGAAAGCTGTAACAAGGGCTGAGACCGTGGTCACTCTGGCCACTCCTCCTCTCTCCTGGTTCCCTTTGGGGCAGGGTTGTGGGGCACTGTGGAGGTCTTAGGCAAGTTTTCCATTGGAGGTTCTGAATTAGACTAGCCAATCAGTGGAGGAGCCAGTGCTTAACTAGCCCTTCCCCAGCTTCCTAACTGTCTCAGCTGTGTAATCCATCATTATGAGTTGAAATCTGTCATGCGATTTCAGAGATCAACCCAGTGCTATTAAAACTCCTTCTCACCTCTCTCCATGGAACTTACTCCCTAGATCACATGGACCAGAGGTTTACCCTTCGTCTTTTTGGACCCCTATTGTCCCATCTCTAAAAGTAGAGAAATGTTGTACCTGCTTACCTTGTAGGGTTTAGAATGGATAGAAAGGAAGACGGAAAACTTGCAAGTGATTTTATGTGAAAAGATGGGGCAGCAGAGAGAAGTCCGAAGTATTAATGTCCTGGCCTGCCCTCTGAAGTCAGATAAGTGATGTGAATTCATTCTCTGAGCACAACATTTTATACAGAAACGCTGATTATGAGAGATTGGTCATGATGAATGCAGGTGATTAAAATGGATTATTTTCTTAAAAATTGACCACAGACATGAACATTGATAATTTTTTATTTGACATCTGGATTTTTAACTTATATATTTGCATAACATAATCAAAAACTATTTTTAATGATTATCTGCTCAGAATCACAAGATAGTTAACTGATCCCTTTTAATTCTCTATTTGCAATCTGAGCATCACCCTGGTGTAGCACCGAGAAGAAAACAGTTGTTGGTCACTTTCCTTATAGTGACATAGGCACTCTCTGTACATGGAACACATTGGGCAGGTTCTCCTTAAACTGTGGATTGTATGGCAAGATTGGGTTTGGTAAATACAATAGGGAAGGGTAGAAGAGATAGGAGGGTCTCTACATAAGAGAGACATGAATACATTTTTTTTTTTGAACTGGAGATTGAACTCAGGGGCACTCAACCATCAAGTCATATCCTAAGCCCTATTTTGTATTTTATTTAGAGACAGGGTCTCACTGAGTTGCTTAACACCTTGCTGTTGTTTTGAACTTGTTATTCTCCTGCCCCAGCCTCCTGAGCCTCTGGGATTTTAGGTGTGCGCCACCATGCCTGGCTGAATACATTTTGATGTACTAGATAGATGAAGCTGGCCATGTCAGTAACTTACAAGTGCTAATGTGAGCACTGAGGAGTGTGGAAGGAACCTCGGATACACAGTGTCCAGCCCCTCCTATTTCATAGCTAAGGACGGGGGTCCAGGGAACTTAGACTGATAGTAGACTGGAACAAGAACACTGGCTTCAGGTTCTGTCTCCTTGGTATACAATATTCATTGATCATCTTAGATTCAATTTCTGGTCATTTGAATAAATACTGGCCTATGAACCATAATTTTTTTTTTTAAGGCTGAGGTATGTCAAAACAAGTTAATTTTTATGTTAATTTCCCCCTGCACATCTTTTTTTATCTAGGTTGTAATGATGATGATTATCACCACCACACAAAAACTTAGCAATCATACTTTCAAATTGGTGTTTAACGCAGAAGCAGGGTAACATGAATTGTCATTTATCTTTCACCCACAGACTGCAAAACCATTTTCAAATCTAACAGTTAGGCCAATTATTCTTGACTTATTATTTATGCTAAAGATAGCAATGAGGTCAGGGTGAAATGGTTCAGTTCTAACACACCAATATGGAAGAATTTCTTTTTTGCAGGTAAAAGGTAACATTGTATTATGTAGAAAATTAACATTAGGAGATACTCAGAGGCAGCCCTCATTGTCAAGCATTTAAGGATGGCCTAGATTCTAAGAGGAACCTCAACAGAAGTTTTTTCTGCTTCAAAATTAAAAGAAGTATTTGAAGATAAATGGAAAGATTAAATAATCAGTACAGATTTTTTTTTTACAATGGAATGATCCACATGAGCTTTCCAATCAATGTAATAGAGTTGATTTACTTTCATAACACATAATTTTTCCACATTAAAATTGAGATCTATCATTTATAGTGTCACTTGGATTATCTAAACAGTAACATCTTTGTTTATTTTATTCATGTTTTGTGGTGCGGTGGGTCAAACCCAAGGCCCTGTGCATGCTAGAAAAGTGCTCTATCATAGAATTATGTCCTCAGCCCCTCACATCATTGAAACAAGTGGGCTTCCATGCAGAAGTTTAGATTCCTGCAAACCTGGTTGAACTGTTCATGTAAAGTAATAAACCATTGGCAATAAGGTAAGGCAGAGGCACACCAGTAGATGCCCGTCAGCAGGTTAGTTTTTGATAGCCATGGTCCAGAGGAGCGGATGGCTGGTCTCCACAGTCACAACACCAGACCCATCGTAGGTATTAGAAGTACTGACCAGTGTTCCGAAACCAAGCACATCATTTGCTGTAAGAGGGGGAAAAAAAAATTAGTGAGAGGAAAACTTTTTCCAGTGTAGACTGACTTTGTCAATAGTTACCAAAAAAAAGCAAAGAAACACACACTTTTTATAAAAGATATATAAAATGGAATAGGTTAAATAAATGATGTAGAGTTTTAAAGCTAAAAATGTCTATAACTTGCTACTACTATTCTTCCTAGAATTGGTTATTTACCATTTTGGGATGTATACCAATATTAATAATAAATTTCATTGAATTGTTTTCTTAATTTTTTTTCTTTACCAATTTTAAAACAAGAACCCACATCTTTAATGTGCCATTTACTCCCTTGCCTTGGTACAGTTTTTTTTTTCTTGATGATTCAGAGTTAACATTTTACATGTTATTAAATGTAATATGGATACAATTTTAGTTTCAAATATAAAAGATAGGTGACAGAAAGCTGATTGCCTAAAAAAAATGAAGAAAAGAAAAACATGAGGTTTTTGGACACAGTGAATATGTATGGCTTATGTTCTTTAAAATTAATAGGAACTCCATGGTCAAGGAAGACTTTCAATTTGATATTGAGCAAGTCATTTAAACTCAGCAATAAAATAAAGAGATGATATCATCCTTTAAACTACTTAATTATCAAATTAAAAGCCCTACCAGTTAAGTTATATAACTTTCATGCATACAGGTTTGCATTTCTGGCAAGTGAGTGCCTAGGCACAGGTTGGTACCACCTTCTTCTCTGTTCTCATAAGAGCACTGACCTTGAACTCCTGACTGTCCTATGAAATTCCTTGATAGCTGATATTTTTTTTGGTAAAATTTGAAGAGGAATAAAAACATCAGCATCAGAAGAGACCCCTTTTCCTTCAAACAAAACCTAACCATGGATTTACAGTGTGAGGGAAAAGATCCCATCTCAAAGCTCACTTCCCACTAGAGGGAGCCTGCCATCTTTCCTTGAAGTTTCAAACAGGCAATCTAAAAATTCAGAGATGGTGTTACTGGATAAGAGAAAGTCAGCATTACCAGTTCACATGGTTTATTTATTAGAGTCCAAGCTGTTTTATGGCTGTCAATGTCTTTATTGCTGCAAACATAAAGCTATACAGTAGCACCTCACACAAACACGGCACAAATTTGTAACTCAGTGGAAGAAGCTCCTGCCTCTTCAGTATTGGGACTCCGGCCATCCAAAGTTCCTAAGTGGTGGTGATGCATGCATCAATATTTGCATATATAGACATTCTAGCACAAAGAGTGTGCTGCTTGTCATGGTGGGATTCTTGATAAAGTCCACTTGGCATCTCTGTGGGAAAGAGAAGGCTTGACTCTCCTGAGTGGTGGTCTTGCCTGTTAACTTGGTGCTTACCAAGTGACTTCCTGAGACACATCCCAGGCCCAGGGTTTCAAGAGTTTCCCAACAACCAAAAGGGAAGGAGCTGGGGAGCAATTTGAACATCTCATACTACTTCTCGATCATAAGTACAATTGAGGATGCTTTAGCAGGTCCCTCAGGAAAGACCTGTACACATAAGCTAGCTGAAATTGACACAGTCTATTTTAAGATTCTGCAAACTAATAAGATCAAGATCCTAGTTTTTACCTGAGCTTAAAAGATAAAAGCATAAAATGTTCCTCCAATTTGTAGTTGCATAATCATTTCTTTCTGAAGTTAAACTTATGGATTCTAGGTTTTGGGGGACAGTTACAGACATTGTACATATTGGTTTTTCTAATACACTGTAGCATCCTAATTAGTTCTCAAATGGGAAAAGAACTGACTGCAATGACTATATTGGGACATAAAAATATGCAATATTTTCCTGCAGGAAACATTTCTTGGTGTTAAGCAAGGCAACTATTAGCCATGCTTATAAACTGTATTTTTATTTTATTTTGTAAGAAAGTTTCATTAAAACCAATCACACAGTTATAACTAATTAAAGGTAGAAAATTGTATTTGATAATCTCCAGCTTTAGAAAAGTATGGTAAAAAATATCAAATTAAGATGAATAAGCTGAAACACAAAATCATGAATTTCAATTTACTATGTCACATGCCAATTATTTTGGAATATATTATCTCCAAGTCAAATAATCATATTTTTGGATAAAACATCATGTCTTTCTTAGAATAAAAAAATTTTGAAAGAAATATTTGAAATTGTGATTAGATGCCCTTACCCCAAATGTTGGAGGGTCAATCTTGAAATAAAATACAGTTGTTTTTTTTTTTCTTATATGAGATGCTTATGACCAGAAGTGTTTCAAATTTTGGAGTGTGTGTGTGTGTGTGTGTGTGTGTGTATGAAATATCCTGGGATCCAAATATGAAATTCATTTATGTAATATATATACCATATACACATAGGCTGAAGGTGATTCTACATAATATTTTTAACATGCCTGCATTTTTGACTGTTACCCTCACATGTGGTCAGGTGTGTAATTTTCCACTTGCACTGTCATGCTGAGGCTCAAAAATTTGGGGATTTTGGGATTAGGGATGATCAATCTGTGCATGAAAATGGTAGAAAGATAGCTACATGCAGACAGGGGAAAGCAAGTAACTTCTTTATTTCTACCCTGGAGGACTTTTCCAAAACATTGTTTGATGAACTGACAGAAAATTTAGAGTCAGGTTTGCACAGAGTCGAGTTTAGCTAACCACGGTTGCTCCAAGACAACCAGTTATTCAGATCAAATCCTTTTTTTTTTTTTAAACAAAAGACAAGAATAAGATTTACAGATACATGTGTAAGATGGTAAGCAACTATAGGATGTGTGACCAACATAACCAGCTATCACTGTGTGAATGTGAAAACTGTGTCTTCTCTATTCATTTCCAGCCACAATCATCAGCTGTATTGAGGACAGGTTGTCTTGTAGTCTTGACAGTATGAATACTGGTTCTCATGAAATTTAATAGGGGGTATATATTAGGGAACATGGAGGCATAGCCTAACTTTTGAGTTTTGATATTTTAGAGAAATAGTAGAACTTAAGAATATGAGAAAGACTGACATCGATCTTACATTTTTAAATCCATTATCTCAACCTGTGTTCCTCCCCTGTGGCAAGGTGCGAATCAGCCACTTGCTCCTCTGTGTTCGGTGATGTCTTACCAACTTTTCTTCAACACTGGAAAAAGACTGAGGACTTATGAAGTAGAAGCTGGCAAACTGGTGGGAATCAGTTATTCACCTCTGTTCACATCAGCTGTAGGGTAAGTGGGGCCACTTGCCACTGGTTTCCTGCCCACCTTACCTCTGCAAGCTACTCAGTGGGCTGTGACTCTCCTGCACTAGTGACAGGAGCCCACTGCTTCTAAAGGCCTCTGATGCCTCCAGCATTGATTCCAAGAGCAAAGCATTTTTTTATTTCTTTGCAACCTAAGCGACTATTCTGCTCCAGGGTTTTTACAGAGAAAGCAACAAGGACCCCATCATGATGGGGTGAATAAGGCAGTCCTAGGTGCAAACTGGGGCTCCCCCATTTGTGAACTCTGTGGGCTCAGTTACTTAAACTCTGGCCTCAGTGTTCCCAACTGTAAAATGTGAATAATATCATCTCCTTCACAGAGAAGTTGTGTGGACCATTTGGTCCAAATTCTAACATGCAGTAAGTATTCAGGAAATTCTCATCTGCCTTGCTTTCTATGATTGTTATTCTGTCCATAAAATAGACCAGGTTTCTCTTAAGAGAGAGGGAGAGAGGGGGAGAGAGAGATCATGATTTGAATAATTAGCAAATGCCTTGTTCAAGTGATTAATTTACAGCTGGCTGAGAGGTGAGATGAGGTTAATTCTCAATTCTGGTGGGCCAGCTTCTCTAGAATGACTTTGTAAAATCATTTCGGTGCCACCTTGGCCTGTGTATGTGTATGCATTCATTTGTTTACAGAGAGCTGGTCCGCCGTATCCATGGCTTCTACTCTGTGAATTCAACCAGCCATGGCGCAAAAATACTCAGAAAAGAAAAACTGTGTTTGTACTGAACACACACAGCCTTGTTTTCTTGTCCTCTCTCCTTGACAGTACAGTTTAACTACTACTAAGTAGTGCTACCAAGTAGTGTTTAAAATGTGATAGGTATTATAAGTAATCTAGATTTAAAGTGTGCAGGAGGATGTACTTAGGTTATGTGCAAATGCTATGCCATTTTTATAGGAAGGACTGAGCATCCAGATGTTGGTATCTATGGGGGGTTCTGGGGCTGGTCCTGCATGGACACTGAGGGATGACTATGACTGTAGTTACTAAAGTTTGACTCTGTGATGGCCACCAGGGTGGCCATTCCATTACAAGGACTCTTGGGGTTTCCGGCCCTGCTGGAATGTGAGGTTCAGTTCTAGGAGCTCCACTAGACATACTGGACATCACTGGCTTTAAGATGTGATGGAGCCACCATACCTTTATAGTCCTTATTTCCTCCCTGAAGATTCTTGTCCTGTTTGGAGAACTGCTACACATTAAGCAAATATGACTTAGATTTTATTCACTAAAAAGAAATGCAAACCATACTGTCTCTACCATAAGTTCACTATGATTGGTCTTCATAATTTACAATTCTTGGCATATAGATTTAAAAAATGCTTTATATTTATGTACCTGTGGCAAAATATTCTATTCTAAAAATTACCAATTTATGCTATAAAATATGAACTCTGGAAGTGGTTTTTATTAAAGTTATTCCTTGTAAAGTCGTGTTTACATTTAGCATTGCTCTTGAAATTTTTCAAAAGTGACATCGATCTATTGCCTTTTCATTTCTTACAGACGGAAAATCAAAGCAGTCCCCGTGTCGAGCTATTGAATACATGGTTTCTGGTGTTTATGTTTATATTGGAATCTTAAGAAATACAAGTTTGAAACCATCTTTCAAAGTAAGAAATACTTTCAGTTGTCTGTCTATACCAGCACGGTCAAATATAAATATGTGATCCACACATCTAGTAAACATTTCTGGTGAACACATTAAAAAATAGAAGAAGTTAGAAAGCTAAAG